GCCTTGAGATCATTCAAGAATCTCCAAGGGGAGCTGGGAAGGTGGTTCAGTGGTAGAGCGCTTGCCTTGCATGCATGAGGCCTTGGGTTCAATTCTTCAGCACCACATAAGCAGAAAAAGCCGGAAGTGGTGCCATGGCTCAAGTGGTAGAGCACTAACCTTGAGGTGAAGAGCTCAAGGACAGTTCTCAGGCCCAGAGTTCAGGCCCCATGACCAAAACAAACAAAAAAAAAGAATCTCCAAGGGATATACAAATCTCCACCTATATCAATATAATCACCTTTCCTGAAAGTCACTTACCATGGTCTAGCTCAAGGCAAAACTTGCACATAAGCTTGTTTATGTATTGATGCCCCTAGGGGGAAAAGCATTTTCTTAAGCATAAAGCCTTCCTTCAGCTGCTAGAATCCCATATTTACCCATTACAATACAGTATACCCGTGCTAATAGACCTAATTTATTGCTCTGATAAAGTGGGTGTGAAAGGCTCTTAAGAATAAACACAAAGCCAGGTGCAGGTGGCTCACATCTGTAATCCACGGTGTTCAGAAGGCTGAGATCTGAGGATACCAATTGGAAATCAGCCCAGCCAGAAAGTCTGTGAGACTCTTATCTCTAGTTAACCACTAAAACGTTGTGGCCCAAGTGGTAGAGCACTAGCCTTGAGTGAAAAAGCTAAGGGAGAACACAACCAGGCCCTGAGTTCAAGCCCAAGTACTGGTACAAAAATATGTAAATAGATGAACACAATTTATTACTTTCTATAATGGCAAATAACTCTGCCCCTGCAGAAGTAGGGAGCAAACAAGAGATCTTGGCAAACATATTAAGTGTTTGCAAGCAAGAATCAGCCATAACTAAGGCTTCTGTGCTTAAAAGAATTTGTTGGTCTTTGTTGGTCTTTACTCCTACTTATCAAAACTTTTGCTTTTCTATTGACTTCCTAATTCCAATATAGGGGCATACTCAAGCCTACTGGAAGAATCATAGATCATTACAAATTCTACATTGATAAAGACCTGGTATTCCAAAGACAAAGCTACTGGAAATTCCCAAATAATAGGCAAGGAGAGCAACTGCTTGGGAGCAGTTGTTTTTGTGTGTGTGTTTTTCTTTTTTCCTTGTTTGTTTTTGTTTTTTGCTTCATGCTTGGGAATTTGAGTAGAGGGATTGTGTTTTGTTTGGAAGATGACACCTTTGTAACAAGGTTCAGGGATATTTTCTTCTCCATATCTTTCTTGAGGAGGACTGAGCAGTGTTTCAGGACATCAGATCCCATAGTAATGTTGCTGGGACTTAGATACCAAGGGCTGTATCCAGATCCTTTGTAATCAGTGCAATGACTGATCAGTCTCCACATCTTGAGTACTCCAATACTTCTTAATAACTCAAGGTCAAACTGAAGACAATCTACTCCTCCAAAGTCCTAGTGCCTCTAGCATTGTGCTGGGCATGTGGGCCACAGTGGAAATTAGCAATCAGAACCACATTAAAATGCAAAGTCTTAGCTAGTTTGGTGTGTCGAGTCATGTATTCTTTTCCAAAAAAACACAAAAGGGAAGAAAAAAGTAGGGAAAGGAAGGGAAGGGAAGGGAGAAAGGAAGGAGTAAAGGAAGAAAGGAAGGACACTATTGTCCCCTAATCTACTCCAGAACACAGAAAACTAAATGTGTGTCTCTACCAGATGATGCAAAATCTGCACATTGAAGAGACTATGACATACATGCTGATAATATGGAATTCTCAAATGTGACAAAACAGACACAATTTAGAAGAGCCACAAGTTCATCTAACAATCTCAACAATGGTTATATAATAGTAACGTGAGTTCTACAAGGGGTTTCAAAGACAGAACATGATCATCTGTCGAGGTACCAGGAAGGTTACCTGGGGAAGCATTATATAATCCAAGTCCTGAAGAATGAAAAGAAGTTAGCCAAGAAAGAAAGGCAGAAGTGCAAGTAGCACAAGGGTCGGAGCTTCACACCTTTGCTTTTATACAGTGTGACATTATGGTTATGATCCTTGAACAACCTGGGAAGAAGGCAAGGCTACCTGTTGATCTAGGATGCAGATGCAAAAACTGAAACACAAAATAAACAGCACCAAGCCCCTGTTCCCCTACAGCATGAAATTAACATACCACAGTAAAAAAAAAAACATCTGGTACATTGGTTGTTTTAATAGTTGCAAATATAATGTGATTATAAGAAAAGAAACTGGACTAAAAAAGCTCAAAGTGGAAAATTTAATCCATCTAGTACCCAGAGATGACCTCTGAAAAATGTTTGTGTTTCTCTAGGGATGCAGGGATGGATACACTTAAAAATCTACAGTACTTTATAGAAGGAGAGAGACATTTTTGTACTTTCAAGTAACAATCAACCTACCTCTCTATGTGTTTAGTGTATCTGTATTTTCTTACTATATCCATGTTTTCAATGCTTTTTTAGGAACATAGGTTAATGGCTGAAGCATACTCCTATTATTTAACGTACTAGGCATCACAATTGAACTATTTAAATCCTTCTTGTGTCAACAAGGAGGTGTTTTAACTGGTCATTCTTGTGATCCTACCTCCCCAGAAGAATGCTTACAACTGGAGAGGAGGCTGGTTCCCAAGTTGTACTATTCACACACTTCCATAGATTTTTTTTAAATTATTTTATTGTAAAGATGCTGTATAGAGGAGTTACAGTTACTTGAGTAAGGTAATGAGTACATTTCTTGTCAAGCAATTTACTCCCTCCTTTGTTTTTGTCCTACTATCCCTTCCCTCCCCTATTCCCTATTTTTGGTGGGTTCTATGGCTTGAACTCAGGGTCTGGGTACTGTCCTAGACAACACTTTGAGTTTTTGTGCTCAAGGCTAGCACTCTACCACTTTGAACCACAGCTCCACTTCTGGGTTTTTGGTGGTTAATTGGAGATAAGAGTCTCATGGACTTTCCTGCCTCAGCTGGCTTTGAATTGTGATTCTTAGATCTCAGCCTCCTGATTAGCTAGGATCACAGGCGTGAGCCACCAGTGCCCAGCTCACAGCCATGTTTTTACCTGTTGTCATAAGCCATGAACAGTGAGTCTTCAACCCTGGAAGTAAAGGTTTATCCCCCCATGTAAACGTTCATGAGCCCAGGCCTGGATGTTTTGCCAATCCTCATGGACTAAGTCAGTGCCCACCAGGTTGTATGGAAGTTGAGACTTTGGCCATGTGTGCTTCCTCACAGGTGAGCAATCAGTCCTCAAATAACTAGTCTAGGATTGTCTAATTAGCATTGCCCAGATGCACAGGGCAATTCTCAATTGACGTGGGTCCTATGCACACATGAACTTGAAGTTCATAGTTGTTCGGTGAGCACAGCTATTCTTAATCTAGTTGCTTGTTCTCCCTTCGCCTCCACACTCTTCTTCCAGCCTTACTCTGAAGCCACGCATTTACTCCCAAATGCAGCTTGGTTGATGGTACCACATGGTAAGCCATGTGAAGACTTCTTGGGAGGTTGAAAATGTTCACATTAATTTCATGGTGACCCATATCAGTAATATGATGAGAAAGGCAGATAAATTTTTATTGCATCCCTCTCACTAACATCCTCTTGTCATTTTTTATTAATAATCATTTCTCAAACATCTGACACTCACATGCAAAGGTGTGAATGCCGAGCTATAAACCAAGGTGGACTCTTCTCTATTACATTTCCTATATAAAGGTTGTGAAAATTTAACTGATTCATCCACATTGTGTGATGTTTAAGATATCCTAGGTTTTATGATTTTATAGTGGCAAAACATTTGCAATCTGCAAAACGTCAAGCTAATCCGTCAAAATACTGTACACATGTTCATTTTCCTTATCTCTCTGCATAGACTCTCATGTCAACCTAGGACGAATGACCTTTATTTATTTATTTGTTTGTTAATTTACAAATGTGTTAATTTACAAAAGCATAAGTGAATGCTCTGCACACACAAGCATTCCTCCTTTCCATCAAAACCTGTATCTTAGAACAGAGCCTGGTGGCTCCTACCTGTAACCCTCTCTACTCAGGAGGCAGAGATTGGGAGGGTCATAGTTTGAGGCCAGCATGGGCGAATGTTAGGACAAATCCATCTCAAAAAATGAGCTGGCTGTGGTACATACTTTGTTATCTGAGTTATGCAAAATGTAAAATGAGAGGATTGATGTTCAGACCAGTCCAGGCCAAAAAAAAAAAAAAGCAAAACAAGACCCAATATGAAAAATAGCATAGGCAAAAATGGTCTGCATCATGGCTCAAGGGGTAGAATACCTGCCTAGCCAGTGTGGGACACTGAGTTTAAGTTCCAGATCCACTACAAAACAGCTTAACTCAGTATAATTGTTAGTCAAGACTTTATATATTACTATATAACACATATGCTCTCTCTCTCTCTCTCTCTCTCACACACACACACACACACACACGCATGCCTCATACAATTATGAGCTGGAATAAAGTATACAGGTAAAAATTTTGGTATGATAGCTAAGATATAAAAAACATGAAAATCCCTCTATTCAATAATACTGTTATCATTACTACCAAAATGCCTTTCATTGGGACATGCAGCTGGATTAAAAGGAATGTCAAGAAAGACTTGTAGCTGAACACAAGGCGGCAGCCCATGTGGCCCTTGCTCATGTACTATTTCCTTGTAAGGTACACTGATACCTGTCTCCAGGCCTATATGGGATTTCTTGCCACATCTGCCCACAAATTGCAGCAAGAAAGGAGAGACCTATTTTCTGGACTCACAGACCTTTCCTTTCTTTCCTAGGAGCATGCGAACCTTGGCTGGAAATATGGAAATATATTCTCCTTTCTCATAACTCCTTCTGGAACTTACATCGGCAACTTATGGATGCTTCCTATCCCAGGCAGGATGGGCACAGGAAACACTGATGGATAATGGTTTGGGAGCTATAAATCTACCAACATCAATGAAATAACCACTTTTTTCTTTCTTCTTTCTTTCTTTTACCTTTCTTTGCTCCTCCTCTTCCTCCTCCTCCTCCTCCTCCTCCTTCTTTTCTAGCTGATACTGGAGCTTGAACTCAGAGCCTTGCACTCTGGCTTAAATTTTTCACTCAAGGCTCCACTTGAGTCGTACCTCCACTTCTGGCTTTTTTGGTTATTAATTGAAGGCAAAAGCCTCATGAACTTGCCTCAGGCAAGCAGCTAGGATTCTAGGTGTGAGCCACCAGCACCTGCCTCTGACTTCATTCCTAACACATAAAATCCTCCAGACATAAAGCAAACTCAAGGACATAGGTGTGAAGAGTTAGTTAAATTCTCAATTAATGCTAACGTCCCACTAGATAAAAACATCCTGGTATCTCTTCCTAGGCTTTTGCCCAAGGCATACAAATATTCATCTTCGTGATGAACCCTCACACTAACAAATATATCGCATCAAAACTGCAAGGTCCTTAGCTAAAAGAATGTCCAGATTCAAGATGAAAATGTTAAATGCCTTCTGTTCATACATTTCTATGGTGACCTAAATAAGTATTTTTCTCAAATTCCTTCATTCTATAAACATTTACTGAACACCAAACACCACCTTTTGGCCAATCAGTTATTGTGCAGGTTACTGGGGATACAGACGTAAGTAAGTCTGTCTAGTGGTATAGCCAGAGACACATGTAATAAAGAAAGCAATGTGGCAAAGAGAAGCAATGAGGAGAGTGAAATACACAGAGTGTTATGTGTTATGTATAGCCTAAGAGCATTTACAGAAGCTTCTAGAAGGTCATGTCTTTGAGGCATTTTCCAGCACCAGAAGGAATAAATTAAGCAAGGGAAGTCAGCATGGGGAATCTGGGAAGCCCCATTTCAATCACAGGGAATAGAAAATGGCATGGAAAACTGGAGCATAGTGTACAGATAAAGGAAACTTCAGCATGGGCAGCAGAACACGATGGAGTTGCACAGGCAGGCAGAGAGCCTTGCAGGCCAACATAAAAGAGTGGAAAAATATCCTGTCACTGAGAAGCAATAATGACTTCAAGCCAGGAGCTGGTACGGTTATCTTTGCATGTCAGGAAACCACCACAGGGGCTGCTGGATGGAGTCCGTTTGAGTCCACTGGTGGGAAGATCAGTTACCAAGGCTGCAGCAGGGCCTCAAGTAAGAGATGATTTGAGCCTGTTTCCTGATCAGTCTATTTGTCCAAATGAGGCCTTTGTCTTTCAGCAACAAATCACTTGTCACTCATCCAGTAGAATTGCAAATCCTACCCTTTGACCAAAACGCAGCTGGAGAAAACTTGCCTATTTCACAAGACTACTGGTATCTCTGAAGAATAGGACTCATCTGAAAAGGCTGAAATAGTAGTTTCCACAACTGCCTGCCATGGTCCTCACCATGACCAAGTAAACACAAGCAACAGTTCACATCTGGACCAGACACCTCCAAGGGAGTGTAATTCAGCCCTGGGTCAGAAGCTGGTGACGCACATTAGTTATTACTAGACGACCCACAATCCAGCAATAAAATATAATATTGTCACGTTCAATATGTACTAAAAGTGATTTATCAGACCTCATAGAGAGTGACTCAGACAACAATTTGATTACAAAACACAAGATAAATCCCCTTCATTTGAAGGGTAAATTATCCTGCCTGACAAGTCTAGATCAATTTGACAGTTAAAAATCAGGGTACCCATGCTGTCTACCCAACTCATAGTGAAGTGTGGTTTATTAAAATGTTAGGCAGTCCCTCTTTATCTTTCCATAGTAATTACCCTTTCTTCATTCAGGACACATTGGAGGCTCCAGGCCCCCCGTAAAGTCATCTTTTAAACAAAAACACAAACAACAAACAAAATACTACCTTTGCCAGGCTCATGTCTCTAATCCTAGTTCAAAGCCAGACTGGACATCAAAGTTCATGAAACTCTTATCTCCAATAAACTACCAAAAAAGCTAGAAATGGAGCTGTGGCTCAAGTGGAAGACTGCTAGCCTTGAGCAAAAGAAGTCAGGGACAGTGCCCAGGCCCCAAGTTCAAGCCCCACACTGGCACCAACTAAAAAAACAAACAAACAAACAACAACAAAATCAAAAAAACCCCACTGGTCATCATGGCAAATGTCTTTAGTTCAAATGCAGCACTCAAACAGACAGACAAGTAAAGATTCAACTTCCCATGAGATAATCTTGTGTATTAATGGTCTGGAATGAATGCATCCAAGATAGTTTCCAACCATGACTGATAAGAATTCTTCCCCTTCCAACATACACAAACCACTCTGCCAACACAACTAAAATTCTAATCACCTTCCCCATGAATCTGAATTGGCCGTAGCATTTGCTTTGCCCATAAAACAATGGTGTGCCAAGCTTAGGCTTAAGAGTTGCTGTAATAGAATAGCATAGACTGGGTGGCTTAAACAACACTCACTCCCCAAGGTTTGGGAAGGGAGAAACCCAAGAACAGGGTGCCAGCATGGTCATATTCTTAATAAGAGCTCACTTTCTGGCTAAATGTCCACATGGCCATAAAGCGTTCCTTGTTTGAGAGAGAGGGAAGAAGAGAAAATAGGAGAGAGGAGGAGAGGAAAGAAGACAGGAGGGGAGGAAATCAGAGAGGAGAGGAGGGGGAGGGACATCATCATGCAAAGCAAACAATGAGCTTCCTGTGACACCCACAGCAGGCCACCCTCTGGTAACCTCACGGCCATTTCAAAGAGTCATGGCTCATACAGGAAATCATTTCCAAATGAAACTAAAGGGGATTCGGTTCAAAAAAACGGTCAGGCAGAATTAATGTTGGCTGATCATACCAGGAAACCAGAGGCTTGATCTATTACGGTTAAGAGGAGAAACTCAAAAAGTCATCCACTCACTAGCTGAGGTACCAGTGAGCAAATTGCTTACCAGTTTTAACTTCAGTTCCTGAGGTTAATAATTGTTCTTTCCAGAATGTTACTGTCAAGTGTGAGCAAATATTTAACTACCACATAGCAAGTGCTCAAACATTACTAGATATTATCCTGGATCACACACTGCGTTCATCAATCGGTGAAGGTTATGTTATGAAATGGTAAAACTATACCTTCAAAAACGTAAGTGCCACAATACACCCAAAGTTATTTCTTCCTAATACTAAATACCACTGTGTGTTGGCCAGACAGTTCAGGAAGCTAGGCTAACTGTCCACCAGGCTAAATGTTACCATGTACCAAACGTTGTTCATCAGTATTTAAATGCTGTCCTGTAGAATCTACAGAGCTCATACTGACTCATGATTCATTTGGCTGGGTTTGGTCAGATGGCCCCATCCAATGACAAAAGTGTCAAGAAGTGTCACCCTTTTATGTTTCCGACAAGAAAAGAAATAGATACTGATGAGGACCACTAACCCTTAACCACACAGTGTTTATAAATGTTACATACATTTCCTCTTTAAAACTCATAACTATCATAGGAAGTGGAGATTATCATAAAGAAGCACTTGATGAATAGAAGTGTTGAGTAGCTAGTTAAGATCATCTCACTAGCAATTCTAGAGATTATTTGCGAAGCAGAAATAATCATAGTGAAACTGATTCTCAGCCTTGGAAAAGACATTGAAGTCCACCACTCGAACTCACATCCAATGAGGTAATCCCAGAAGCACAAATCTAGATCAGCCCCCCAAAAGAGCTAGCAGAAGCTACCATGGTTCATTGCTTGAACAGAGAAGCCACAGTTTTACATGTATTTGTAGAGCCAATGTATAGGGCTTCCCATTACTTGATGAGATTCTCCAGATGCAGAGTTTTCTAGGGACAGGCATGCATGAGAGTGGTATTTTAAACTGTAAAATCCCAAAGAGTGCTACTAGCAACATACAGATCATGAAGAAATCAGGTGTCATCAGAGTGGTCTCAAAACCTTATAATAACCTTGTGGGCAGGTATTATGATCCTCATTTTTTACAGATCAAGACAGTGAGATGAGTGATTTCATTCACTTCCAAAAAAAAATGGTACAGCTTTTCAGAGAAGGGATTTTCCAATAGAAATGGCTGCTAACTAGGAACTGAATTCCAGAAAGGGAACGCTGAAAATAAGCAGAATACCTCTACTTTTCTGTGATCTGGTGCACTGAATAAACTATTCATTTAACAATGTTCAAATAATGGGTAAATTTTACTCACCCATTATCAACAGGCTGGCCATTATGAAGTCATGGGCTGAGCTGAGAGAAAACTTCTAAATAGAGCACAGCTAAAGCAGAGCTTATAGAACTGGGAGAATACAACTGAAACACGAATAATAATGTTGAATAATTGCCTACTACAGAACTAGCTTTTGATATTTTTATATACTATCCTTTTATTTAATGTTCACAGTTTTCTTCAGAAAGTTATCTTCATTTGCCATTTAGGAAATCTAGACTCAAAAAAAAAATTAAGCAAATTAGCTCAGACAACCCAACGAGGCAGTGTAAGATTTCTCCACCAAGCTTTCTTTCCCAGAGGCAAGGGAAGAAATCACTAAAAGGTGCTGGTAATGAGCCCCTGAATTTCTTTTCCTGTGGTTCCATTGAATACATCATTAGACTACATTTTAATCAAACCAGGAGTTGGGCCTCATCATCCTTACAGAGTTTTATATCTTTCAGTTAAGGATGTTTTTCTTCAAAAGTGTAAAGATTTTCCCTTTGATTCAAGTCCAATGTTCTGATACAGCCCTCCTGACATCAGATCTTCTCACCCACATATCACCCCATATGCTGACACCCAACCAACGCCATCTGGAGGTCCAAAGATGTTCTGGATCTCCCAGTCCAGAATAAGAACTCTGGTTTAGGAATAAGGAACTGAAGAGCCATGGCGAGGAGCAGGGGGAGTAGAAACAGTTTTTTACATGTATCAAAATAATACATGGCACCCCATTAATATGTAGAGTATTTATATCTGTATATATCCACTAGGAGACAAATGATAAAAATAGGCTTTTAAAACTTTGAAACAACCATGTAAGAGAAAAAGTCAGTTTGTGCTTTAGAGTTCCTCTAGCTAT